TTGGCCACATGGCTTCTGCAGACACTGGGTTTTACTGCTGTCAATTTTTTACAGACTAAGTTGGGAAGACTCCCCACCACTTTTGGAGAATGTGCCGCTCAGATGCGACACTCCTGCAATGGAGATAAATGGCAAGAAATAATGAAGCCCATTCAAGGTCTTCTCATAAAAACCTCTAATGGGGTCTACGAGAGGGAACTAGGAGACATGCCTGGTTACAAATATTTATAAGCTTGTACTTGTAAGATACAATTCACGAGCAAAAATTAACATCTCTAATGGAAAAAGATGTCTAATAGAGACAGCACTTAGATACTTCTGGATAAAACTAGCTAGACAGCTGCGTCACGTCAAATTAGAAAATCTTTTATTGAAAGGGAAAGATGCTCTCACCCTTAAGGGTTAAGTTTTCAACTGTACGTCATCCTCCTCATCCCATCTTTCAAGCCCAGATCAGTGCAACAGGAAAGGATATTTTAGAAACTTTTCATGTAACTTCAACTTCCCTGTGCGTAAGGGTCGTTATGGAATTATTTGTCTTTCTGCGACTCATGCAAGCAAAACATGAATCTGTTAATAGCAAGCCACGTTTTGTTGCTAAAGAAGAGCTCTTTGGGCAGAGCTGCCAATTCCTTCAGAGAATGAAGACTTTTGCTACAATATATGCGCTTTTCTCCAACCCATTCAATACAAAACATTGAGTGGCCTGTTGCTGCAAACCTTTATTGCTATGAGTAATACTTATTCATGCCAGCAGTCCTGCTGATTTCAGTGGGTCTATCTGCATGAGCAGTGACTGTCTACATCAGGAAGGGATTTTCAGGGTGCAATTTTATTCAGTAACAACCCACGGGTATTGCACAGCGTGCTGTGGGGCTCCTTGTTCACCAAAACACGCGTGTTCTCTGCAAAACCACCTCTTATGCAATGCTATATTGCCATTTCACATAGCTATGTCCATTTAAGGGTATATTTCATCATGATAGTTCAACATATAACTTCCCAATTCAGAAATGTATCCAGTTTAACTATCGCACTCACTTCAACAATAATGACAAAAAAGGACTTTGGCAAATGATTTTTCCAAGGGATTTTTTCCCAAAACACACATGATTGGTACAGTTGCTCTGTAGCATTTTTCTCTAATCAGCCGTGCTTAATGATTTCAAAATCATATATTAATGCCCAATTTAAGTTCTTCTTGACTACAAAGCGAGATTTGTATCAGATTTGTCACTCAGGACAAACACATATGGACATAAAGGGTTGAGTGTTTCATTTTTTTTTTCCTTACTGAAAACCATTGAGTCGAAAGTGAGCCAAGCTTCAAGGATTCTTAAGCTATGCAATTGCACTGTATACACACACAACTCTCTTTAAACCCAGAGCAATGTGTATTTTGGATATACTGAAGTCCTATACAGACACCTACACATACAATGGAAACTTTAAAAAAACTTTCATTCACTACATTTGACCATTTTATTCCTTCCTGCAATATTATGGTACTTCCTCATTCTGTGCAACAAGAACACTGCAAGACCCATAAATAACCATAGCTGTGGGAAGGGACAGATGGTAAAGTGTGCCCCAAATGTAGGGCGAGTTAGAGCAACAAGCCTAAAAATACCTAGTGTGACCATTATTAATGCTTGATTTTATCCTGTGACCATAACGTTTCACTTTCAGCTGAAACTAAGGCTCTCAGAGAATCATTTGGGTGCGATGTTTGCAAATAACTAGCAAAAAAAAAAAAAAAAATCAGACTAATCATGGTTATAACACCCAAGGGAGTGGGGGGACAATAGACAATCCATCCGTCCCTGCACGTACCCTCTTTTTGGGTGTTATGGAAACATATGCTGGGGACCGACTCTGGCCAAAGCAATGGAAGGCCGAGCTTGCATGGAGGGGCTCAGCTGACTTGCTTGGAAAACTCCACTCCCTACACATCTGCCCGGCAGATGGTCCGGTTGCTGGGTAAAGGATTGTCTTGCCCCTGAGTGTTCAAAGCACCTGTTCTCCATATGTTGCAGTGGCTACCATTTCAGCCCTGGGTGTCATTCAAGGTGCTAGTGATAATCTCTAAAGCCTGGTGTGGTCTGTGACCCCTTTCATTAAACAGGCTGCCTTCTCCCTTCTTTTTCCATCTCAAGACACAAGGCTCTCTGATGCCTTTCAGCTGTCAGCGCCAGGAACTCAGCCTTGCGAGGGCAGCCCCGGAGCATTCCCGGCGCAGGGCACCTGCCCCCGAAACGAACTGTCCGTCAGAGCTGGAATTTGGCAAACTTTGGATCAGCCTCGCAGGGCTGTTTTTGTTCCCATGAGGCTTTCGCTCAACACGTCTTCCTTGCTGTTTTCATTGGCCGGATGATTTTAGGAAGAGCCAGGCGTCGTCTATGCTGTTTAAAATAATGGTTGATCCACATGCCACGGGTGCAACACACTTGCACAGCTTCCACTTTTGTTCTGCAGGAGCTTTTACTTGATGATCGTCACTACAAAAGGCTGGTCTCATGTTAAAGCAGGGGAATAGCAAGTGAAATCACCCAGCTCCATTTGGGGCATTATTTGCAACATATTTTTTAAACCAATCTCATTGGTGAGTAGAAGGCAGAGATGCCCCCCTTAACACATCCAGCAGCCCAGACCAAGATATATGGGAAGTGATGGAATAAGGAGAGTTGCTTTAGGGTATCTGGTGGGAGCATGAAGATGGGGAGATGCGGCTGACGACACTAGACAAATCCTGCAGGTTTCCCAGGCAGCACTTTACTTAGACTCCCAGCAAACCTTTAGTATCAGGCCCCGCTTCACCAGAGATAATGTTAATAATAATGATAATCAGACAAAAACAATTACTATATAAACTCCCTCCAGAGGTGTTGCACTCACTTAACCCTGGAAATCTTTAAGAGGAGACTGGACTGGTCCCCTGAACCCAGCTGTCTTTCCTGCCTAGTGCAGGGGGCTGGACCCGATGATCTTGCAAGGTCCCTTCCAGCCCTTTACAGGTCCCCAGTTATTTCCTCTTTCCTTGCCACCCTGTCCTGGGAACAGGGCCGGACACAGGCCTGGGCAAACCAGGACAGCAACGGGGCCCAAAAACAGATTCATAGATTCAGGGTCTTGAACAGACTCCCTGCCAGAGGTGGTGCAAGCACCTACTCTGGACTCTTTCAAAAAACATCTACGTATTTTTGTTACTGGGAGAACGTTATCCCAGTTGACTTTCTGCTGATGGAGGCGGGGCTGGACTCGATCTCACGAGGTCCCTTCCAGACCCTAATGTCTATGAAATCTATTACATTTTTAGGGTCGGAAGGGACCTTAGTAGATCAAGTCCGACCCCTTGCCCTGGGCAGGAAAGAGCACTGGGGTCAGACTTTTATAGATTTCATAGACGTTAGGACCGGAAGGGACCTCGGAAGATCAGAGTCCAGCCCCCTGCCCGGCCCTTGATGATCCACTAAAGGTCCCTGCCAACCCTATGAGCCTATTTTTGTCCCTTCTGACCCTATGAACCCCTTTCTGTCCTGCTTTGCCCAGCCCCATTCCCAGGGCAGGGTGGCAAGAAAAGGGGACTAACCCCTAAGAAAAGGGGCACCTGGGAAGCAGGACACATGAAGACAGGGGGAAAAAGTGGTATTATTCAGAGATGACAGAGCGCATCCCTCTTTAAACAGCGGGGGCTTTTCTCTGTGACTAGGCACAACAGCCCCACGCTGCAGCAGAGGACATGGAGGCTGGAAAGAAGAAGGGTCTCGACAGGGTTCGGACAGGGTTGGGGCATCCCTCTCTTTTCTGGGCAGGACTGAGCCCAGCCGAGGTGCGGGTAAGGGCTGCAGGGACAAAGGAGGCGCGAGGTGTGTGTAAGGGCTGCGGGGACAGGGAGGGCGAGGTGCGGGTAAGGGCTGCAGGGACAGGGAGGGCGAGGTGCGGGTAAGGGCTGCGGGGACAAAGGAGGCGCGAGGTGCGGGCAGAGGCAGCAGGGCCGAGGGAGGGCGAGGTGCGGGTAAGGGCTGCAGGG